TCTTCGGCGGGGCAGCGGCGCAGCCGATCCGGAGTTTCAGCCCCTCCGAGCGGAGGGTCAGCCCCTGCGTCGCAACCCGCAGACCCTGGCTTCAGCCACACCAGTCATTCCTTGCAACAGGCCGACCCCCTTCAGCGCCCCACCCCGGCCCTCCCCAGTGCGGAAACACCCACGCTCCGCCGCTGCCAACAAACGCGCAGGTACAACGTCCCGCTGTTGGTGGTGGGCGGTGGCGGCTACACGCTGCGCAACGTGGCGCGCTGCTGGTGCTACGAGACCGGGCGGCTGATGGGCATCGACCTGCCTGACGACCTGCCGCGGTCCACGCTGGACGAGTTCAACTACTTCATGGACACACAGAAGCTCAGGATCGCGGTGGGTGCTGGGGGCGTGGGGGGCGGGGCCGGCCGGCAGCGGCGGGTGGCGTGGAGGCTGGCGGTGGGCTTCGGGGTGCATTCAGTTGTGCATCACAGAGGGTTGGGTGGAGGCAATCGAGTGTGCCTGTGTGTGTCGTGCGGCGTGTGTTGCAGGGGGTGTGCGTACTCTGTGTGTGTGTGTGTGTGTGTGGGCGTCAGCTGGGACGGCGCGCCCTGCTCGCGAGCCACACCCCTCGGCGTGGCGGGGCCTTGCGCTGCATGCCTTTTTGTGGCGCCCGTGCTCTACCTTTGACGCCGCCTGTCGACCGCCGCCTCCAGGGCTCGAGGGTCATTCGACAACCCTGCCTCTGCACCCACCGCCTCCGAACTCGGCTCGAAATCTCTTGACTGTCTTCCGGACCTCGTCATGCAGATCATACCCCAACCTCAACCCCAAGAGACCCACTTTCCCCCTCCCCCTCCCCCCGACATTTTTTCCCCCGCCAGGTGTCGAACATGGAGAACGCCAACACCCCGGCAGAGCTGCAGAAGATTGTGGAGCAGGTCATACGCAACCTGCAGCAGCTGCCGCCCGTGCCCAGCGTCGGCATACACGACGCGCCGCCGCCCACCAGGGTGAGCGTGGCCGGGCTCCGCGGCATCCCGGTCGCGGGCCGGGCGGCTGGACCTGCGGCGATCCTGCGCTGCGCTGCACCCATTGTTTCTGATCCCACCTTTTCTGCCAATTCGGGGCCCCTGCAGCCGGGCGCCGAGGGATCGATGAGAGAGTCCCTGCCTTGAGCACCCCCGCCTTCCCTGCTGCGTGCCCCTGGCGTATCCGCCGATGGCACGACCACACCCCTGCGCCCCCAGGTGCCGGACCTGCCCGAAGAGGACATGGAGACCAAGGGGGGCGGCCAGGCCCACCAGGACGCGCGCGTGGTGAAGGAGGGCGACGAGGAGGTCGACAACGACAAGGACGCGTCTGCGCACCGCAAGGGCTTCAAGGACATCACACCGCCTCCCGGCGCGCGCTCACCCACGGCGGCGGCGAGGGAGGAGGGCGGCGGCGNCCGCCGCCGCCGCCGCCGCGGCGGGCACGGCGGAGGGGGCGGAGGCAGCAGTGGAGGGCGGCGCGGCGGCGGCGGACGCGGCGGAGGCCGCGGCGGGTGGCGGCGCAGCGGTCTCGGGCGGGAAGGCCGCGGGCGGGGAGCCGGTTCTGGAAGCTGACGAGAAGCTGGACACTCTCTCACCACCGCCAGAGGGCGTGGCGGCTGCGGCCGTGGGCGGTGGCGAGGGCGGGGACGGCGACGGCAGCGGCGGCGGCGGNCGGCGGTGACGGCGGCGGGGGCAGCGGCGGTGCGACGGTGTTTACCGTTGTTGGAAACGGTGGGGGCGGCGCGGACGCTGCAGCGGGCGGCGGCGATGCAGACGCGCAATAACCTGTATGCTTGGGGCGACCAGACGGTGTGCGTGGCGTACTTTCACATGCAATCTGTGCACAAATGACGTGTGGCGGCAAGGCACACCCTAGCCGCTGTTGACCGATTGGACTGATCGATCTGTAAGTTCAGGTGCAAAGTCTGCGGCAGAAGTTGGCAAAACCAAGGGGTTCCAAATTGTATACTCACAGCTTATGATGATGGCCTTCTGCTGCGTCATGGGTTGCATTCCTTCCATTAATTGATGAGACATCCCTCACAAGCAACGTGCGCGCCTGATTTGCTAGCCGGGGTGCCTCGAAGCACTCACACGACACGCATGGCGCTGGGCCACCATCCAAGAAGCGCACGCCTGCAACGACTTGATTCTAGCACACATTACCAGTCACACACACACACAAATTACTGTGGTTCAGGCGCAATCCCCGTCCTGAGGGTGCAGTGGAGGGGCCAGGTCCTGGCACTTGATGCAGCGAGTCCAGCTGGATGCAGGCTGCCAGACCAGCGCACACAATTGACTCTTTGCAGAGCCCTCACGGAGGCATTATCCACACGAACATGCTATAGTTGACTTCAGAATGTTGTCCGTCATGCGGGCGGAGGGGGCTCCTCGTTTGGATCGGGCGCAAAAGTATGGCAGCAGGGGCAGGCCTGTGGCCCGCAGCTCTGGCGGTGGAGACATCAATAATTGGGACACGATCGACGAGGGCCTCGTAAGAGTGAGAACTTCGACGCAGAGACCTGGCGGGGCGACCCCTACCGCACCTTCTCAGCAGTCTGCATCGTGCAAGCCCCACACGGCCTAACTACATCATTACACCACGTATTATCGCGTATTTACAAACATAGTTGCCTCTGAGGCCCCCGCCGGTGCCACGGCGGTGCGGCGGGTAGGTGCGGCGCGCACACTGATGTGCACACATGCAAAGTGTTTCGTGCCGCTTGCTTACACGATGCGCCCCCTCCCACGATGCTGCAGGAGGTAGCGCAGTGGCTGCCCCGCGCCGACGCGCGCCGCGCGCGCCTCGTCTGCCGCGCATGGCGCGGCGCCCTCGCGGGCCTCGCCACGGCGGCCGCGACGCCCGCGGAGGCCAGCACCGTCACGCGGTGGCGCGCCCAGCTGGAGGCCATGGTGGCCAGCCTGCCCTGCCTGCGCGAGCTCACCGTGGGCAGCCGCCTGTCGGACGTCGGCGCGCAGCAGCTCGCGGCGCTCGCGGGCGTCCCGCAGCTGCGCATGCTGCGCATCCCGCATGGGCATGCGCTGCGCGATCGGGGAGTGCAGGTGCGCACATGCTTGTGTGCTTGCGCGCATGCATGCGCTTGCGCTTGCATGTGCATGCGCATGAGTTGGGGTGGTTCCGACGGTGGCCATGCAGCAGTGCGGTGCTGACGATGCAAGCAAGCCAACCCTGAAAGCATCCCCAGACCCCCAGTAAACACACAGTCCCTCGGCAGCGCTGCTTGCTTGCTGCCCACCCAGCTACGCCAGCACCCACTGACACCACCCCCATCCAAAACTCCCCAGACCATCGCCCAGCTGACTCAGCTCAGGGAGCTCCAGATCCTGGGCGCCAACGCGCTGACCGGCCGCGCGCTGTGCGCGCTGAGCATGCTGGGTGCGAACCTGCGCGTGCTCGACCTGCGCGGCTGCGGAAAGGTCTCCTTTGCTGAGCTGCGGGACGCGTGGCTCGCGGTCTGCAGCGCCTACACTGCCGCGGCGGCCGCGCGCACGCACCGCGCGCGCGGTGCCAGCGGCGACGGCGGCAGCGGCGGCGGCGGCGGCGGCGCCTGCGGCCACGGCGGCGGCATCCTGGCCGGACGCCCCAGCCTGCAGCAGCTGCTGCCGGGCGGCGCGGAGGTGCTGCAGCGGCAGCGCACGGCGGGGGCAAACCGGCTGGCGCGGGGCGGGCTCTGCGCGCGCGACCGGCTGCCGGCTGGTGCTGGGCGCCACGGTGGACGCGGCAGCAGCGGCGGCGGCGGGCGTGGGCGCGGGCGCCGCGTGGGCAGCGACAGCGGCAGCGGCGGTCCCGTGGTGCGCGTCTTTGTCCGCCGTCGCAACAGCACCGGGAGCAGCGTGCTCACGCGCAGCCCCAAGGGCCGCGGCAGCAGCCGCAGCGGCGCCGGCAGCGGCCAGGGAAGCCGGGACAGCAGCGCGGGCGGCGTGTGGCAGCACGGGGCTGCCAAGGGCGGCGGCACTGCGGGCGATGGCGCGAGCTGTGGCGAGGGCAAGCCCGCCAATGCGGCAGCGGTCCACGCGGCGCCCAGCGGCGCGGACAAGCTGAGGGTGTCGCGAGTCGCGGCGCTCAAGATGGGCGCCCGCCTGCCGCGCCAGCTCTCGGGCGGCGCGGCGGCGACGGGGGCGCCGCTGCCGCAGCACGGGCGCCTGCAGGGCAGCATTTTCAAGCAGCCCGCCCACCAGCAGCCCGCGGCTTTGACAGACCTGCCGGCTGAGGCCGGCGGCGGGGGCGGCGGCAACGCGGCGGCCAAGCAGCCCACCACGTTCGCAGACGCGTACGCGACCATCGTCGCGAAACAGGCCACCAGCGTCGCCGCGCTGTACGCCGCCGCCGCCGGCCCCGGCGCGCTGCCTGCGCCGGGGGCGCTGGGGCGCGGTCTCGCGCTCGGCACCGCGCGGCGGGGCGCGGGCGGGGCCGGGGCCGGCGTCTACAAGCAGAGCTCCACTGTGCAGGCCGCGCTGCTCGCACTGCTGCGGGCGGAGGGGCGCCGGTCCGGGGGCGGGGCCGGCCGGCGGGGCCACAGCTCCGGCGGCGGCGGGGCCGCGAGCCGGCTGGCGGAGGCGGGCGGCGCGCGGGCCAGCAGCTGCGGCGGGGACGAGGAAGGCCGCGGCGCGGGGCAGGGCGGCAGTGCCCCCGCCCACCGGGCCCGCAGCAGCAGCGGCGGCGGCGGCGCCGCGGCGCTGCCGATGCCCTTCCCGCACCTGCACACGCTGGCGTTCAGCTGCCAGGACGGCGGCAGCGGCGGTGCGTCGCCGGCGGCGGAGCTGGCTGCGGTGGCGGCGATCTGCAGCCTCACCAACCTGGAGGTGGCGCGCTGCCAGCAGGTGTGCATCCGTGGTCCCCCCCCTCCAAAAAAATGCCACCGCCTCTTATGCATTTGGCAAGAAGAGCTGGTGCCGCGGCGTGTTGTGTGCCGTGCTTGATGACACCCAGAGGCGACTTTCACCCTGCCAGGCCGCGGCCAGTGCCGGCGGCCAGCAAAGTTCAAGATTATCCGCTGCCAACCCTGCGTCTGCCTGCGCCCGTCCCCCCACGCCAGGTCCCTGGAGAGGCCCTGGCCTGCCTCTCGTCGCTCACGCGGCTGGCGTCCCTGAAGCTCTCGGGCCTCTGGTCCGCGGGCGACCGCGGCCTCGAGGCCCTCGCCGCGCTGCGCGGCCTCACGGCGCTCGCGCTGCACCACCCCATGCGCGCGACCGGCCGCGGCGTCGCGGCGCTGGCCGCGCTCTCGCGGCTCGAGGCGCTGTCGCTGTCGGTGTCGCAGGACCTCGGGCACGGCGCGGTCGCGCGGCTCGCGCTCGCGCTGCCGAGGCTGCGCGCGCTCGAGGTGTCGTGCCCCGGCTTTGGCGACGCCTGCTGCGAGGCGCTCGCCGGCGACGCTGCGAAGCGGGCGGCGCTGACCAGCCTCAAGCTTCACGGCGCGGCCGCGCTGACCGCGCGCGGCCTCGCCGCGCTGCGCGCCGCGCCGGCGCTCGCCGCGCTCGCGCTCGACGCGTGCGGCGGCGTCGCGAGCGGCGGGCTGCTGGCACAGGGCGCGCTCGCGCCGCGGCTGCGCTCGCTCGCGCTGCGGCGCGCCGACTTTGCCAACATGTTTGCCGGCGGCGTGCTCGAGCGGCCGGCGTGCGCGGCGACGCTGCTGCAGCTCGACCTCAGCGGCTGCGCTGACCTGGCGGACAGGGAGCTGCGGAAGGTGGCCGGGTTCCTGCCGAATCTCGAGGATCTTACGCTGACAGGGTGCCCCGCGGTCACAGACGCCGGGCTGTCGTCGCTCTCGTGCCTGCGCGCCCTCCGCGCCCTGTCCGCCGGCGGCACCCGTGCGGCCGGCGCGTTCGCCGAGGCGCTCGCGCCGCTGCCCGGCCTGACGTCCCTGTCGCTGCGCGGCTGCGGCGCGCTGACGGAGGCGGCGGTGCGGCTGCAGCTGCCGCTGCTGGCGGGGCTGCAAGTGCTGGACCTGTCAGAGTGCCGCGCGGCGACGGACGTGGGCGTGCTGGCTCTCGCGGGGTCCCTGGCCAGCCTGGGGCTGCTCAACCTGCAGGGCTGCAAGGGCGTGACGCGCCAGGTGCTGCCGTTTGTCCCCCACTGGCTGCGCCTGCTGCACAGCATGGGGTGAGCGCCCGCGCCGCGCCGCGCCGCGCTGGCGGCGCGCCCGGCCGCGTAGGAGACTGCGGAAGCGCGCCTACTAGCAACAACGCCAGCGGCGTGGCCCCAGAAGGCCTCGCACCGCGGGCAGGCGCACCGGCGCCGTTTTTGGGGAGTGTGCCGCTTGGCGCACGCGCGCGTGCTGGGTAGCTGCTAGTTTGATGACGGCCACGTGCCGCCGCCGGTTGCGCTCCGCGCGCTGCCGCCGGCCGGCGCATTCACCGCCGGCATCCTTCAAACCCGTTTCCTTCCTGTACCCAAGGACGTGCAGCCGGCTGAGCGCCTCTCGCCTGCCGTCCTCCCAAGCTCGCTTCTTCCAGGGGGGGGGGGGGCTGGGCCGCCGACCATACAGTGCGGCGGCCCCAGAACCCGCGTTCCGGGTTGACAGGGCGGGACATGACAGGGCGGCCCGCAAAGCCGCCGCGGCAGGTGACGGTGCCTGCCCGGCGGCTCGCGGGCCTGGCGCACTTGCGCTGACTACCTTTTCGGGGGGTGGCTGGCGGCCGCAAGGGTGGCCCGCAGCTGGGTGCCGCGGCGTCAACAGATGCCCTTTGTTATGGGGGATTGGCCCCTTCTTGGGTGCAATGCAAGGATGGCAGAACTCTTGCGCCGGCGATTTCCATACCTTTTTCTTAGCTGCAGCACTCGAACACCTGTGTGCGTTCTGGGCGGGGGCAGCGCAGCGCGCTCGTTGCCCTGCCGTCCCCCCGAATGCTTTCCGTTTTCCAGGCTGGCGCTCTGCCACACCACGCGTCCCCTCACATGATGCCGGTCCCAGCCCGACCGCCTCATTCGTGGGCGCCTCCGGCTCCCTCCACCATGTTTGCAGCTGCAGCCGGGGCAGCTGCAGCAACCCACAAAAGCTGCGGCCTGGCCCACACAACCCCCCTCACCCGCGGCCCGCGCCCTGTTTCGCCCTGAACCCAACCGTGCCCTTCATGCCAGTAATGTAAACCCTTTATCTCCGCTCACGCTCGGCAGCCCAAGCCCTGCACACCAGGCTGCCAGCAGCGCCCCCGCACCCAGCCCCAGCCGCCACCCAGCCCAGAGCGCCACCATGCCACCTGCCACCTAGACTGCAGTGGTGCAGCAACCGATGGCTGCCTCACGACTACGAAATCAGGGTACAGAGTATGATTACTCACAGTCTTCCAAGAAAGCAGGAGTGATCTCGGCCCCAGCTGCCCCCAGTGCGGCCGCTGGTCGCCCTTCCATGCATAGCGGCGGCCATGCCGCCCACCATCCATTCAGAATAAAGCAGTATGTGTCAAGCCCGGAAAGGGGGCGCAAAGTGGCATCAACCAATCCAATCCCGCAAGGCTCATCAACACCCGCGCCCGGGCACGGACGAAAGCGCGCGCGTCCCTCAGGAGGGGCGGGGGCTGCCCGCCCGTGCCCAGGCCGCTGGTTAATAACATCGCGGCCGCGTTGGCGCGGCCGTCGATGCCGTCGTCGTCTGTGGCCGTAAAAGACAGTTTGCGGCTCAAACCTCCCGTGGGGTGCGCCGTGCTCACACGAGGCGCGGCCGCGGCCGCCGGGCGCCACCCAGGGGCTCCGCGGCGCAAAATGCTGCCGCGCAAGCCCCGTCATCCTGCCGCGGCGCGGCGGCGGCCGCCGCGCGCCCCCCTCCGTGGCGTCCTTTACAATTTCATAACCCCCCCGCCCCGCCGCCCCCAAACGCCGCGCCCGCGCGCCCGGCGCCGCGGCGGGCCCGCTCTCGTGCGCCCGCCGCCTACTGGGGCGCCCCCTCGGTGCGGATCTGCTTGTCGATCTGGGCCATGCGCTCCGCGACCGCGCGCACAGAATCGAGCTGCTGCTGGATCGCGGCCCTGTCCTCGGGGCTCGACGTCTCCAGCGCCTTCTCGATCTGGGCCACGGTCTGCTGCATGCGCGCGAGGCTCTCGGCCGCGCCGGCCGCGGCGCCGCCGGCGCCGGCCTCGGCATCCTTGGGGGCCTGGCCGCCCAGGCTGGTGCGCGCGAGGCGGACGCTGTTGCGCACGAGCTGCAGGTCCTGGCTGGCGCGGCGCAGGGTGGGCTCGTTGCTGGCGCGCGCCACGCGGGCGACGGACTCGGCCGCCTTGTCGACCTGTGGAGACGGCGCGTGGGAGGGGCGGGGGGTCGGGCGCGGCGGCGTGAGAGCTGGAAGGGGTATGTCATGGTTGAGACGGCGGCGCCCTCAAGAGCGCCGCAGCCCGCGGTGGACCCTCAAGCACCCCCCGCACAGGAGCTGCATCGCAAGGACGATGCTTTCACAGCCCCCCACTCAACCCCCGGAACACCTCGCCAACCCCCATGAAACACAGATCCCGTTGTCCCCGCACCTTCATCTCGAGCAGCTTGCCCTCGACCACGCCCGCGCTCAGGCGCGCCAGGCTGTTCTTGTCGCCGAAGGTCTGCTTGTCGCGCACGTTGACCAGGGCGGCGCTGTTGACCTGGAACAGGTTGACCTTCTGCATGAACTTGTAGAACAGGACCTGGGGGGTTTGGGGTAGGTGGGTGGGTGGGTTTTTTTTGGGGGGGGGTAGAGA